CTGTTGGAATCCCAGCTGCACAGTAGGAGGTGAGCAGCGGGCCAACAAGTAAAGCTTCACCTGTATTTGCAGCTGCTCCTCAGCACTAGAATCACTGCCTCAGCTCCACTTCAGATCATTAGGCATTAGATTCTCATAGGAGCACTGGTTCCTGGTGCCAAAAAGGTTGGAGACCACTTGTCTATAGCCTTTAAACAAATATCATATATACATACAGACTTTCCAGGAAACATTTGAAAAGTAAGTTGATTTTAAAGTTTTGTCATAGGATAGATATAATAAATTTGATTCGTGCTCTTAATTTTTCACTCGTTTGTTTCCTGTAAGGGAATTTTATATCCCTAGCACATTGACTTTTGATACTTCATATGATATGCTTTGGCCCATGGAATTACATGCTATGTTTAAGCAGAAGTTTTAGATACATTTTTATAATTTTTCCCAGCCTCTTATATTTCTGTCCTTATGCCAACAACATGTCCCAGATAAGGGCAGCTCCTTCAACTTGAACCTCACAATGGGAATACAAGCAGATTCACATTCAGGTCCACTGCCTAGAGCAGAATCTTAGCCAACCAGCAACCATCATGTGGTGTGGATTAGAAGTAAATGTGGTTATAAGCCACTGAGACTTCGGGTTGCTTCTGTAGCAAACACTGATTAATATAGGCATAAAGGTGCACCTCTTCAATAAAAGTTCTTAATAATTCAGAACTTCAATAAAAGTTCTGAATTAGTAAGATTAACATTTTTATGTCACTATAGCAGTAAAAGAAAGTATCTGGATGGGTTTCTTTCACATTTAGAGGGGCGTTGGGGGTTATAAGATGTAAAATATATGCTCTGTGGCTTGGGGAGATTCTCAAAAGTTCTGAAACTGAGGTTTGAAAGATTCAAGTGATTGTAGGAAAGACAAGCTTTGTAGATAAAGACATCTTTAGCAGATAATCCAGGCAGTGGTTTCAAATATGATCCATAAATTGAAGGTACTAGGGTAGCTGTTCCAAATGAAGTCATTGATTTTCAATCAAGGTGCACCTCGAGTGAAAACTCCGTGAAGCAAGTTCAGAATGAACAGCAGATAGAATTTATTTTTTTTTAAAGATCAGAAAGACCAACTAGTAGTAGATTGAAGGAGAATAGAATGTACACACTGAACTTAAAACTTTAATATTGCTCCATTATAGACTTACAAAACCATACCTCAAGTGATGGTTATGTTTCCATAGTATTTTATTCAATAGCAGTCACTACTTACCTTCAGACAGAATTGTTCTGAAATTATCAAGGACTTAAAAGGTTAACAGAGAGACGGTTCTTCTAACACAAGCTGTGGAGGTGTTTAGCCTTAAGAGAAAAAAACTTATGCTTTTACCTGGGTTATGGAAAAGTGAAAAGAACTTATAAAAGTGCTGACTCTTAAACAGAATCCAATTCAAAATAGAGGAAATAGGAATATTGCTCATTTCTCTCCACAGATGGAGCTCCTATCTCCTTGCAAAGTGGTATAGATTAAGGTGCAATTAAATCAGAGCCTTGTGATCTATTTGATCTTGATTTGCAGGAAGCATTGAAACACTTAATCTGTCTGATTGCCACTGCTAACCTAGTGACTGATTAACTAAGAGGTATTTCCTGATTTCTGAAAAGCCCTAAAAGAAAACCAAGGTAGGGGAGGGGCAGAAGGAAACCCATGGTGAGTTAAAAGAGCTTCATTATTAGAATCTTTATACTCTGGAGTGGGATCTGATACTGACCTTGGTAAAGCTATACAAATCAATTAAATAACAGATTTTAGAAATCATCTCTTTCTATTTCCCAAGGTCATAGCAATGACTCACCTGAAAACACTAAGTACCCATTGCCTGAAAAATTATAACAATTGAGTTTCAGAAAGGGTTTTCAATTTTAAATAAAGTGTCTGCATCACCAGAGTCTCTCTCTTGTTAGGTCTTGTCTCATTTTTTTTTTAAGTACTGGGTTTTACGATTTTTTGCAAAGTCACTCTGGAATAGTCTTTGTAGAAGAGAATTTTACTGCATAAAGAGAGCTTAGAATTCACCTGATGTGCCCTCTCCCTCGCCACAATTCTAGAGATGAGAAAATGGAGCTCCCAGAGCCTTAGGCACTTACAGTCAGGCAGAGGTAGCGCTGGGTCTGGATCCCAAGTCTCTTGCCTTCCAAGGCTTTCACATTCCAAGCCATCATAGATTAGTTTGGGATCAAAACATTTAGTCTTTTAACTCATCTAGAATCTCTTTAGTAGTGTTACATAGTCCAACTATTCTGTTGTTTTCTCTTTTACAGTCCTAATATTATTAAGACGCAGTTTGGGAAAAGAGTGGGTCTCACTACTGACTCTTTGTGGCAGTAAGAGAAAAACATTTTTAACAGTCAGGTTTGAGATTTGAGTGTTAGTGTTTCTAATTCGATGCTGTCAATGACACTGGCTTCTATTAGTTATTTAGCACATATGAATCATGTTATAGTTTCAAAATAGTTTTCTATCAATAGTAACTTCTTAGCATGAATCAAGCTAGTTTTATTATTTCCTTCTCCTTAAAACAGCTTTCCTGGTCACATCATATTTAATGACTGTAATTAGTTGTCCAGATGCTTAACTGTCTGAATACCTACAATCTACCTGGTGCCTAATAAAGCTTTAGATAGCTTTACTTCTGGGGTTTCTGGTTGCCAAAGACAAGGTAAGAGATGGCAATGGAGGGATTTGGGAAGATGTAGAAGGATAACCTGTCTTTATTGATGACAACTGAAGAGTTTGCAGGTGTTCTAGCTCATCCCTAATTCCAAGCCTTGGGTGACTCTGCCTTATTCTAGAAATCTATGGTGCAGGGCAGAATAAAGGCAGGAAGGGCCATTGGCAGGGTTCACTTTACTCCTGACTAATCCCTCACTTCAAGGGGAAACCCATGAGATCACTTTAGATCAGGAATACACGACACTGGTCTGTTCCTAGCTGCTGTTGACAGGAGGGGACACCTTGAGTGATTCTGAACATGAACCCAGAGGCAATTCCAAACCTAGAATAAGAAAAAAGGCTCTCCTTGGGCATGACTCAAATAGAAAAGCTCTTTGAATCACAACATTTGAATCTGAGTCACTCGCCAGTCTTTTCTTTGTTCTATAAAGGCAATTTAAGCACTGAGGTCTAAAGCAGGCCTTTTGATTCTCAGCCTTTCCCCTGTCAGCAAACTTCCATCTCAACCACCACATAGGAAGAGTAAGATCTCTTTTAGACATTGAATTTAAAGAAAGACCACTTCATACAAGTGGTTTGGGGAGTTTTGAGGGCTTGGGAGAATTACTAGAAATTATCGTCGGTTTGTACCATAAAGCTATCTCTGCATCTGGGACACATGGCCTGCCAAATGGCTCCATAAATTTGATTACTCTCACCTTTCCTCTTCCTCCTTCCATGTGAAAACTCTTCTAATTTTCTGATCTACCAGCAACTTCAGGGGGAGTTAAGACAAATGAAACCTAACAGAAGTTATGACCTTCCATTGTCACCAATTCACGATGATGCATCATCACGTATTATATTTTTAGATATTCGCGAGTGTTATATTGGGCCAGCTCATATTTAGGTCATCCACTCCACCTTCCCCAAACCCCTCTGATTTTTAAAAGACTTTCAGAGCCTCTACAACCATACTTGCAAGAAATTCTTATTCACTTAAATTTACATCTCATGTTACTGTTTAATTCTGTCCTCTTGGTTTCCAAAGTCCTGCCTAATGAACCTTAAACTATAACACCTAAATTTCATACCTATAAGAAAAGCTGAATTTAAGATTCCAACCCTCACCCTTTTAAATTCTTTCCCAGGTTCAGCCCCTTCATTATTTTGTGTGTCCCACATCCCTCTTTCCACTCTCTCCCTCTCTCTCCCCATACAATCTCAAATCTTCAGATTATCAGATGAGGGGCATGGATGGTCTTCATCACTTAGGGTATGACCCCTCTTCCACATAATAGTTATTTATGTAGCTGAATACCTTTTGGAGCTTTCCTTCCTTTCCAAACCCCTAAACGAAACCATTGTAAGCTTTCTTACCCATTCCTGGTAGTTTCATACTCCAGCTGGTTTCTCATGTCTCTCACTGCTCTCATAAAAAGGTGGACAGTTTGGGCATCATGGCAAGAGATGGTGTCAAGGAGCTTATACATGTTTTCCCATTGTAATAAAGTGTGTAATTAAGTGTAGACTTAGGGGTCAAATTCTAACAATTCTCTTTCTGCTCAGAGAAGGCAGTGGTCATTCGGTATAAAACGGTTTGTTACCAAAATCTGCTGCTGCTATGCAGCCTTCTGGTTCCATTGCTTCAAGTGGGGGTTACATGTTTCTTTTTATCAGACTCAGAAGGAACCAAGAAATGGAGTTTGAATGTCAGGGACTGTTAAAAGGGCAATAGAAAGACTGGGAAAAAAACCTCATTAAGCTAAGGAAACAGCAAAAAGTGCAGGTATAAAACAACAATGCCACATGCAAATGTAAGGAATTGTGTATGGATAATTCAGGGGAAATTATTCTGAAAACAACTCTGGTTACTGGAACTTTGGATTGCTGTGAACTACCTGGAAAATAAAAACCATCACCTACTGTCTTCCTCATTGTATCCATAGCATGCAGAACAGTGAATATTTGTGTAAGAGATATAACACTGGCCAAACTATCCAATGTTTTCAGAGAAACTATACGTTTCTGTGACACAGTCACTTCCATGCCCCTACAGGCCCCATCTATGGCAGAGTTCGTGTGAAAAATGACTTGAAAAAGGAACGTATCGGGCACCGATTGACTACAGTTGGGTTCCCTACAGAGAGGGGAAAACGCGAAGAGGTAACAAGCTCAGGTCAGCAGACATGAGACCACCTTTGAGATATGTCTTATACATTATCATCTGCCAGCTCCTGCCCAAGTTCTCCTGTCTCCACCTCGTGGACCCGAGGCAACCGTGGAGTTAGCAAGAGGCAGTTCTGTTGTAACAGGGAAGTCTCTTGGGGGCAGTACGTCTCCTTTCCCTTGGCATCTCTCGCTTGCAACTGCCGCGCTGCCCCTCGCGTCTCGGCAAAGATGCAGAGGTCGAAGCACGTTGCTGTGCGGAGCTGAAATGCTCCCAGATTCCGCCTCGCGCGCGGGGCTCCTGACGCCAACCGAGATCCTGGGATAGCCTCTAGGATCCTGTGGGTGTTCCCGTCCTTTAGATTCTCCCTCCCTAGCTCCAGGCCCGCTTCTCAGGCTCACGCCCTCCACCTGAGGAGCATCCCACAGGCTCGCCGCGGTCCTCCATGCCCCGCGGCACTCAGCCGCTCCGGCCGGGCCGGGAGGGGGAGGGGCAGAAGGCGGGAAGCGGAGTCGGGGGCGCGGGAGCCCGCGCTCCACGTTGCCCCGCGCGGGATTTGTCGCCTTCAGCTGCAGCAGCTGCAGCGGCGGCGGGAAGCGGGGTGGAGAGTGGTGAGAAGGGCTGGAGCCCGGGCCAGGAAGGAGGGAGGGGGGCCGCGAGACAGTGCCAGGAGAGCCAGAGGGGTGCTTGGCGCTCCCCCGCCCTCCTTCCGGGAGCGAGGATGCAGACTGTGAAACTGGCGCTGCTGGGCTGAGGCGGAGGCAGGGGAGTTGCAGCGCGCGGCTCGGTGAGTGTGTCTCCTGAGCGCGGAGAGGCGGGGGAGGCGGAGGACCAGGAGGAGGCGGAGGAGGAGGGGGAGAATGCCCGGAGCCGCCGCTGCCGCCGCCGCCGCCGCCGCCGCGATGCTCCCGGCTCAGGAGGCTGCGAAGCTGTACCACACCAACTATGTGCGGAACTCGCGGGCCATCGGCGTGCTGTGGGCCATCTTCACCATCTGCTTTGCCATCGTCAACGTGGTGTGCTTCATCCAGCCTTACTGGATCGGCGACGGCGTGGACACCCCGCAAGCCGGCTATTTCGGGCTCTTCCACTACTGCATCGGCAACGGCTTCTCTCGAGAGCTGACCTGCAGGGGCAGCTTCACGGACTTCTCCACGCTGCCCTCGGGCGCCTTCAAAGCCGCCTCCTTCTTCATCGGCCTCTCCATGATGCTCATCATCGCCTGCATCGTTTGCTTTTCTCTCTTCTTCTTCTGCAACACGGCGACCGTGTACAAGATCTGTGCCTGGATGCAGCTCACCTCCGGTGAGTGCGCGCTCACCTCCGCGGAGGCGAGGTGGGGGGACCTCGGGGCGCCCGAGCCCAAGGCGCGGGAGTGGGAGGGACCGGGCTGTGAGTGTCGCTGGGTGTCGAGCAACTTAATCCGCTCAGGCTTGGGGGTGTGGGTGGCGGAAACCCTGGGAGGCCGGAATCCCCGGGGTTCGCCAGCCTCGGCACAAGCTTCTTGTCCCGGGGCTTTCGAGAATCTCTCCTGTGCGGGGACGCCACCCAGAGGTACCCGCCTGAGGCACGGCGGTTGCTGGGCCGAGTCCGCTTAGAACTAAGGGTGAGAGAAGCTACTGCTTAGGGTGTGTGCTGAGGGACTGAGGAGGGACTGACACAGCTAAACGAAAAGCGGATTTAGAGAGGTTGTAGTTGAAGGAGAGTCAATCTGCTCTGTTCCTCGCTGGGACTGTTTCTGTCATTGGTTCTTGGGAGACTCGTGTGTGTGTGTGTGTGTGTGTGTGTGTGTGTGTGTGTGTGTGTTGGAGGGGGTGGTGGCTGGAGTGGAATTGTTTCTCTCTGTCCCGAGCAGTTGTAAAAATTTTAACATGCTTCTGGAAATGCATAAATCCTAATTGTTTTGGGTTTCACCCTTTTAAGAAGAATGCAGCTTAGGAAGTTCCTTAGCAGTTCTCTAGGGTCCATTCTTCAGTTTGCTTCCTTGTCACAGCAGAGGTCCTTCCATTCCATCTTTAAACGAAGAGAGAGGTCTCCAGGGAATCAAGGTCTCGTTTTTGGGAAGTGGCTTTAGGAAGAAGGGAAGAGGAGAAAACCTATTTCAGGAGTATCTCTAATCACTGTTTGCCAGTTGGTAATAGATTGTTGCTAGCTGGAGAATATGAAATTAATTTTTTTTCTGAGTATCAAAGTTACTCTTATCCCAGAAAAGATGGAGGTGCATTTCCCAACTCCTTTCTCTACATGCCATGTGAAGCCAACTCCCACTCCGCCAGCCACCTTGAGTGCCCTGCCTTTTGAAGGCAACTCCATCCTCCCACACTTGACACCCTCTTGTTCTAGCATTGTCAAGGTCCTTTTGATTTTATGGATGATCTGGTGTAGAGGAATAGAGGATGTCTCAGGCAACCAAATTTTCTCATTTGTGTTTTGTTTTATTTGATTGTTTTCATTCTTCAAAGATGTTACCTTCGAGATTTTGTATTTATTCCTATGCTTGGGAAGGTTTTCTGGGGAGTAGGGATTTGATCTCCAAGTTTACCAGAGTGATATAGGATGATTAAGTCCCTAAAGGTGCTGGACAAGAGAGTTAAGGTTCATCATGATCTTACGTTTGCTAGTTTGATATAAGAGAAGCTGGTGGGAAACTAATCTAGAATGGAAGTATTTGTTATGTATTAAGTGTGTCTCAGCTGATTTTGATATGTCATGAACTGTGAACGTGCTCCATGTGAAAAGCAAGAAAAGAGCACTTTAGAGACTCCTCAGACTCTATTATCCTCCTGAAATGTGAGAATTCTTTGCTTTTCCTTCTCTTTCCACTCCCAACTTATTGAGGCACCCTTCATCTCCCTCCTACCCCATGTTTTTATATATAATGTAAACTCTTATGGACATTTCAAGAGCAGACTGAGATTTGGAATAAATTCATGTATTATAGTTGTTCTTGACACTTAACTCTGGTTTGACTTTGAAGACAATAGGACATTGAGGATGCAGATGTTTTAGAAAAAGAATTGACCCTGCACAGCTAATTTTAATTTTTCTAAGTTAAATGACCTATTTAGACTGGTGATTCAAATTAGATTGTTTTTCAAAGGTCTGAAAATAATTTGCAAGTGATTTCTCAACAATATATTTTTAAATATTTTATTTTTATGAGATTTTTGTACTCTAAACCCAAGTTGTTTTTTCTTTTAAAAGGAAAGAAAACTATTTTTGGGAAAGAATTATCAGCTTTCAAGTTAATACAAACTGCAACTATTAAAATGTTGTTTTACTGTCCTCTTCTTGGAACAGAGCACACAAAAATTATTTATTCTGGGATAGTGAAATATGAAGTTATGTTTTCAGAGATTTGACATTAATATATTATATGTTCCTATATGTCAATGTAAAAATGTGACGATAGCCCTTGTACTAAAGAATATATAAGGACATTTACTTCATTTTTGTAGCAGTACAGGTCCTTTAGGTCTAAGCATACTTTTTAAAGCTTTTATTTGGTATTTTATTTCTAGATAAACCATAGAAAGACATGTTTATTTATTAATAAAGTATGTTAATTAAAGAAGAATGAATTATGACAATGGGACAATTAAGAATCAGTCAATTATATTCACAGATTTTTAAGCAATAGGATGTAGAAGATATTTCTGAAGAATGTCACATTTAATGTGGTTTTTGGGGTTTTGATTTTTAAGTCTCATGACACTAACAAGAAATTTATATATAATGTAAACTCTTATGGACATTTCAAGAGCAGATTTGGACAGATTTGGAATAAATTCATGTATTATAGTTGTTCTTGACACTGTAAGTTACTTTCAAAGTTCAGTTTCCAACCTTTAGGCTATTTTTTTTTTAATGTTAAGAAGACTCCTCATACTTTTAACTGTACCAAGGCTAATCTCAAGTGTAATGTGCTACAGAGAAAGATGAGATTTAATGTACCATTTCGTTATTAGAGACTGTTTAACCCTCATTGAAAGTCAAATGATTAACTTGTGTATTTAGTTATCTAGGCATTTTAATATAGTAACATCATTAATTAGAACCAGGTAGAATGTAAAATCCCCATATGAAATGACACTCTAAAATGATGAGGCAGGAGACTTTCTTGTGGCAATACAACATCCAGAATTATTCTTTTTATGATTCTGAACAGTGAACTAGGAAAAAAAACTTAGTTTTTTTGGACTTGAAAATTATGTTGCTCTTCTATCTCGATGTGTGAAGCACAAACACTTAATGGTGCTGTTATGAAGACCTGCCCTTTCCTTCTTGCTTCTCCCTCTAAATCATTGTTAACCTCAGTGGAGTGAAACTACAGAATTAGGAGCTAATATGTCACACTACTGTTGAATGTAATCAACAGTAGTTGATTACATATGGGCTATGCCTGATTTAAAAACTGAAGACATAAAAATAATACGTAAAATAAATAATAGCAATCAGAGATGCGAAATTTCCAAATTTACACAGAGATAACTTTTTGAGAAGAAAAGAGAGACTTTTCTTCTTTCTATATGATTTCTCTAACATGAAAAGAGGCAGATCTGTAATTGGTCAGACAGGGTAATAAAGCCCAGATTAAAAAAAGTCAAGATGGGAAGGGAATTTTTTTTTGCTTTGGGAACTTGATTCTCTGCTTCCCTAGTTTTGTTCTTTAATTGTGTTTCAGTCTGTTTTCAAGTCTCATAAAAGTGTTCTGTTTGTTTTACTGACTATAAGCTGTATCTTGAATTATTTCCAGAAGGCCAAATGTTAACAATTGTAGGTCAAAGAAATCCTTTTTTTTTTTTTTTTCAAATAAGCTAATGTATTAAGGCAAAAATCAATGTTTTTAGACATTTACCATGGACTTCTTGGTTGAAGGCAGCAGTGAGGTATTCGCTTTCATATGTGAAGAAGGGGCACCTGATCCAAGTTGAATTTCCTTATTCAGGAAGGATAAGGATAGGAGAAGGGACTTTATTTACCAGATCCCTTATCTCCTGTCATTCTGAATGTGCCAAGAAGAAGGGCCACCAAGATGGCAAGGGCTGAATTGCTTAGTCACTTTCCCTGACCTCCCAGCCTTAGTTTTGTTTAGCTCTTTTTGACCAACTTGCTTTCTTAAATTTTATAACTTTGTCAGATGAGATGAGACTCGCCAGAGGTAATCATTGCATTTCATAGCCTGCAAGGCCAGCCTCTGTAATGTTATACCATCCTATCTCATGGTACCTTGTTCTTTGTTATATAAGTTGTCATCATTTGAGACTACAAATGTGTTTGTGTGTTTATTTGTTTAATGTCTGTGTTCTCTAGTACACTAAAAGTTCTATGAAGTCATGTCTATTTTTTCATATAGCATAGAGATCAAGATCGTGGACACTGGAGTAAAAAGACATTTGAACTTGGGTTTGAACTCGGACTCTGACACTCACTGACTGTGTAACCTGGGGAATTAATCTCTTATACTTCAGTTGTTCATCTGCCCAGTGGGCATATAATAGTCCTTACTTTAGGAGATTGGTACAAGGATTAAATAAGCAAATGTATATACTGACAATAGTGCTTAATGTATAGTAAGCAAGCACTATTTGAGAGTTAGTTTTGCTTCCTGTTCTTGTGTTATTTTTATTGCTGTATCCTGGCACACAATAGTATGTGTATGTCTGGCAAATAGTAGGTATTTTTGTTGAGTTACTAAATTAAAAAAAAAATGAATGATTAATGGGGCAAATGAAAGGAGAAAGGAATGATTTAGAATTTCCCACACACCATGTTGAGAAGTGAATACAGTGTACTTTGAAAGCCACAGTGCTCATCTTTCTCATTGGTTTGTGGCATCAGCAGTAATTGAACTAGAGGAACTCTTCCAACAATCTTCGATGGCAATGGTTGTGGCTTGACAGCCTAATTCATGATGATCTTATTCTCAAATGGAGGAATTTTCTGATGCATAGGTAGTGATCTTCATTACAACACTGGGAGAGAATCAATTATATCTTAGAATTCAGCAGATTTTTCCTTACCATTTAGTTTCTCATGAAAAAAAAATCACAGTATTCAAAATGGAAGTTTTTGTAAGAATCAAAAGATCAGGCTTTTTTTCATAAGCGCAGTGACCCATTTCCAGGTCGCTTTTCCTTATGTGCCTTCAGGAGCAATCTGGACAGATGAGGATGTGACTTCCAGGTTTCCCATTTCTCCCTTCTGGGCACCATGCAGATGTGCTCTTCTTTGACCTGCCAGGCAGCCTACTAGGCCTGCTCAGATAGGTGGCCCTGCATGTGCAGAACTCTGATGTGGGTGCC